CTACCATCCATATTTACTCACAGCATGATTAAATTAAAAATATATATTAATATTCATAAATATTTACACCAAAACTATACTTTCAGACAATTTTTCACAAATAACAGCCAAACCACAAGAATAAACAATATATCCTTATATCTTTCAGAGCATTAACATTTAACACAGCTTATAAAACCACAGCAGCAAAAAAATATTTGTTTTTTACTCACATTTGATGCATTTTTGTCCTCAAATATGTCCAAATTAGCAATTCAAAATGGCGACCGAAAGTCTTTTTATCCAAATAAAGTTACTTCTCCTGCCAACAAAAATCACTTTTCCATGCGTTGAAGCACTCGAAACACTTAATAACAAATATATTTTCATCTTATCAGCAGGTTTCGTCAGCTAACTGGACAATAAACGGTGGAAAACAACTTTTTGCTGTGAGCGTTAGCTTCCTTCGTTAGCATAATAACACTGCCGAAACATGGTCGCCTCCACTGTGTTGTCATCTTCCATCACTAACAAAGTTCCTGCCCCCTCTATTTATACATTAAATGAAAGGTATGGTGATTGGCTACACAGTTATAGCGTCAGAACAAAGCTCGGAGCTGATTGGCCGATTTTTCAGTCAATCAAAGCTAGAAAGACGGAAACCAGAAGTTGGTCACCACTGATAAATTATTGGCYCTRGACAGGCGAAACTTGAACCCAGTTGGTCAAWTGAGGTGTCAATCRAAAGAGGAGGGYCTAGACGTCAAGTTTGATGCATTGAACATGGACACAGGCGGAACAGGAAACAGATTTACTTCAAAATAAAACAAATACAAAACGGCACGCGGGCGTTCCGCTGAAAGTTAATGTTGTGAAAATCAATAAATAAATCATGAAGTTTGATACTTTGAATGTCAGATCTGAAAATGAGCTGAAACTTCAGGTTTATTCTTTATTTTCATGAGAAAAGTTAAACTTGTTGTTTTCCTGAAGGTTGATGTTTATTCTTCTGCCTCCGGTTCCCGGACCCAAAATACGAGGAATCGACTCGGATCTGCTGAAGGTGAGGAAACGTCGATTGTTAGGAAGAGAACCGGTGAGTTCTTGTAAAAACGAGGACGTTAAGATGAATGTCTTCCTCTGACAGAGAGGGAAGCTCCGGGAGCTGACCTCCATCCTGGGGGGTCCGGCGGACCTGAGACCGGAGCTGTACAGCAGCGACCCCTGGGTGGAGTTCATCGACCTGGACCTGGAGGAGCGCAGCGACAAACTGACGGACCTGGACACGGACTGCCTGGTGGGCCGCTCCGGCTCCTCTGCGCTCTCAGGAGGCTTCAGAGACGACGACTCGGGTCGGTCCAGCTGCTGCGAACCGGAGCTTCTCTGCGAGTCCAGTCCGTCCCCGGTCCATCCTCTGAACCCGGACCAGATCTTCAGTAAGGAGGCGCCGCTCCAGAGAGCCTCTGGTTCCGGTCCTGGGATCCAGGGCTGCACCACCGGGGAGCCTTCGCTTGCAGCCCTGAGCCGAGAGGTTCTGTACACCCTGGTCAGCGAGGTCAGGTCCGGTACCGTCCTGCTGTCCCCCGAGGACACAGACAACGACATGTCCAAACAAGCTCAGCTGCACAGAGACTACACCCCTGAGCGCAGCGCCGGGAAAACCAGCTCCGAATCCTGCAGAGGAACCCTGAGCGGACCCCTTCGACCCGGAGCGGACCCCGGTCCAGTTCTGTCCCCTCAGCAGGAACTCCACCCGTCCTCAGCTCCTGTCTACACCGTGGTGGACAGCGTGGACAAACAGAACAGCCTCGTCCTCACATCCAACCCTGCACCGCCCCCCCGCCTCACCCTCCCAAAACCTGTACCGACACCAGACGGGTACCTGACCCCGGACCTGCTGGGCAGCGTCACACCCTAAAGACCCTAAACCTGAGACCCTAAACCTGCACCGGACTCTGAGACCCTAAACCTGCACCGGACTCTGAGACCCTAAACCTGAGACCCTAAACCTGCACCAGACTCTGAGACCCTAAAACCTGCACCGGACTCTGAGACCCTAAACCTGCATCAGACTCTGAGACCCTAAACCTGCACCGGACTCTGAGACCCTAAACCTGAGACCCTAAACCTGCACCAGACTCTGAGACCTTAAACCTGCACCGGACTCTGAGACCCTAAACCTGCACCAGACTCTGAGACCCTAAACCTGCACCGGACTCTGAGACCCTAAACCTGCACCTGAGACCAGTTCCTAAAGACTTAAAGGAGTCCTCCTACGACTCGGCCGACTTGGTTGAAAGTTCTGGCGCTTGCCCTACAGCTGAGCTGAAGAACTCAGAAACAGCCAAAGCTAAAAGCATCTGAAGCTAAAATGAGCTGAATCTTAAAGCAGCCGAAGCTAAAATGAGCTTAAGCTAAAACTAGCCGAAGCTAAAAGGAGCTGAATCTTGAACCAGCCAAAGCTAAAAGCAGATGTAGCTATAAGCAGATGTAGCTATAAGCAGCCGAAGCTAAAAGCAGCTGAAGCTAAWAGCAGATGTAGCTATAAGCAGCCGAAGCTATAAGCAGCTGAAGCTAAAAGCAGCTGAAGCTAAAAGCAGCTGAAGCCAGTTCTTGGTGTAGATGCTGACTCCTTGGAGGCGTGGTCTTCTCTGCTTTAATGTTTAGAGGAGAAACTTCAGCTGATCTTATCTGGTTTGCAGAATGAAAGGATTAAAAACGAGCCGACCCACGTGCTCCGTCGACACGTTTGATGTTGGAAACAGACGAATCGATTTGATTTCCTTTGATCTTTGGTTTCTGGTCAAATCTGGTGTCAGACCTCCTGGTTTCTTCATGTCTTCTCCGTGGAGACGTCCTCAGAACCTTTTCACCGGACGGACTTCCTTCGTCTGCACCTGGTTAATTTTTCGAGTCGTCTGGTTGCAGGTAGATCCCACAGCCGAAGCAGCTCAGCGTTCCAACAGAGGCAGGTTTGTAGACGTTCAGCTGAGACCTGGTGGTAGTAGCTGAGAGTTGTCCTCAACACAACAGCTCAGATAAAACCTTCGTTTCAAACTTCATCTTCAGTATTAATACAGATTTTATTCATTAAACTTTGAGTTAAGTTGTGTTTAATGACACGGCCAAAACATTTAAAATATGTTTTAAAGGGAAAATATGAAATGTAGCAAAAACCAAACGTTTCAGCTTTATTTTGTAATTTTTTTATTTAGTTTTAGGTCAACAGCTGCTCATGAAACAGTTACAGTTATCGATAAACATTTTATAATAAAGTGTTGATAAAATGCTTCTGTTGCAGAAATGTTTTCATTTTTTTATTTAGAACTGAAATGTTTTAAAACTGTTTGCAAATTTTCAGTGTTAAAGTTAAAATTTGCTTATTTTCGTTCACTGATTTCAGTGTTTTTATGGTTTTGTTGTTTATTTGACCAATTTCTGGTTTGTTTTTGTATTTAATGTTTCCAAGTTGTTTATGCGATCATGTGTATTATATTGTATTAATAAACAACTTTTAAACTATTGTCTTCCCAAGTTTTTTTGTGCTCATATTATACAAAAAAATGTTAAAAGCAAAAGTAAAATGAAATTATTAAATATAAAAAACGGTAAATCACTCGTATAATGTTAAATTAACAGTACATGTTTTTATAAACTGCACAATTTTAATAAATTMAGAATGTATGGAACAACTAGAGACAGTTGTAAAAGAATTATTTCCTTTTTTTTAATTCAAACTTCTCAGCGTTCAGATAAATTAGAATTCGGAGTTCTGACAAAAAAAAAGTTGGGACTTTATTCTCAGAATTCTGATTTTAATAAATAATTCTGACTTATTTTCTCTTTTTAAAATAAGGATTCTCAGATTAAGGTCAAGATTCTGACGTTTTTCTCAGAATACTAATTTAAAAATTAATTTTCGGCTCTAATCTTCTCCCATACCTGAATCTTTGCTCGAAGTTTAAATTTCCGATTGTCCTTAAACTCAACCTTTGTGCTAGCGCTCGTAGCCGTTTTTAGCTTTGCTAGCTAAACATTGATTTCGTTTTTTCACTTCAACAGTCGCAATAAAGCTGTTTTATTTTACTAGTTGCGTGAATTTTATCAGTTAAAGACATGAATAAGCTAAACTGTGTCAATCTTGAACTTATTCTGGAGGAGTTTGAACAACTGGAGCAGGTAAAAGATGTTTGTTAGCTAAAGTTTTCCACCTATTTCCGGTTTGTTTTCTTGAAAGATAAACAGAATAAATCACTTTTTCTYACATGTAGATAGCTTTTTATCAAATCATTATGTTAAATAAATATTTTTCTCATGTCTCAAACCAACAGCTTGTTTGTTTTTTACCTGATTTATAGTTTTTATTC